CATTTTAACACTATTCTTTCTATATATTCTTTTTTTTCTTCATAAACTAAATTTTAGGAAAATCGCAATCATACATTATTTGAATGTTTTAAGAACATTTTGAAAATAACAGCAGCAATGAAAAATGAATTTTTCAGAAAGAAAACACATTAAATTGAATGCTCCAAGATCATTCTCACGACATACTCTTAAAGTTACTAAATGAATTAAATTGTGCCGCAGTTACATAAATGTTTCAGAAACATTTTGAAAATGTTTCCAAAAAATGCTACATAAACTATAATTAAAATGTTTCAATTGTAGTGAAAATAATTATTTTAGTTAATGTTTTAAATAAACATTTTCACTGCCTAGGCCGAAAAATATCTGGAATTGAATGTTTTTAACCAACAGCGACATTAAGAATGTTTTAAAAATATTTTTAAAATGTTCCTTACAAATGTTTCAGAAACGTATATTGAATGTTTCCGATTTACACAATAAGAATGTTTCATTTCATGTTTTAAGAACGTTTTTAAAACGTTTTATAAGATCTTTTATATTTGGAAGCTATAAATACCCTTAAATGAATTAAGAATGTTTCAAAAACATTTTGACAACGTTCCTACCAAATGTTTCAGAAACGTATTTATGCATTGTTTAAGATTTATGGAAAAGGAATGTTTCATTTCATGTTTTTAGAACGTTTTTAAAACGTAATATAAAAATCTTTGATATTTGAAAGCTAAACATACCTTTTGAAACATTTTTAAAACGTTTCAAAAACATTTTAGAAAAATGTTCCAAAAGGATTTAATCATAAGCTTCTTGAAAACATTTTTAAAATGTTTTTAAAATGTTTTAATGAGAAGAGGAAATGTTTTAAAAACATTTTAAAAATGTTTAGTCTGAAATGTTTCGAAAAAAAACTTTTTACAACACCAATAAAATGTTTTGAAAATGTTTTGTGCTACCTGGGTAAAGTCTCCCGGTCAAATATCTTAAAACACTGAGATCTCTCATGTTTGATGTGATCTTCGATGTAGCAAAATGAAAGGAACCATTATTGGATACATGGCCAGTCTAGCAGAGCGCTTGTTAAAAAAGTATAGCTACGCAGCTAACAGGACCAAACCTTACTTTCGCTTTCTACGCTAACCAACCGTGCAAAGAACGATAACTCTAATTACGCAATAAAATGAAGAGAGCTTTAAAAGTAGTAATTTTTCAAGCCTCTGAAACTTCTATAAGGGGTCAAAAAGTGCTGAATTCAAATCTGAAAACTGTTTGAAAATCCACTGAGAAATAAAAAAAAAAGTTACAGACAAAGGTGTGTTTTCAATAATCCGGCTTTAAAAAAATCGGCAGAATCCTCAATACATGTTTGAAAAGAGACAGAAGTCATTTCAAACTGAAAAAAGTTAGAAACAAAGAAAAAAATTTCAACTGCCCCCGGCGAGATTCGAACCCCCGACAGTGTGACAAAGTTTGGATCAGTCATATCTTTACAACAAAGGCACGCAAGAAAATATTGAAAACATATTTTGAATTGTTAAAAGATACACTGTCAACCCTGTGAATCCCCAAGAAACATACTGAAAAACAAAAAAAAATTAAAAAATTGGACTTTTTGAATTCACTTCTGTTTGCGACCGGAAGTCAGAACGATGAAAAATGAAGGTCGATCTACACATCTATATTTGATGTTCTATCATGTCCGTAAATTTCAGTTTGATATCTATTGTCGTTCTCGAGAATTTTTTGCGACAAAATTCCATTTAAAAAATACAAATTTCCCTAAAAAACGTGAACGGAAGTAAATTTCAAAAAAGTGAGGGACATCCCTGGATTCAACCAGGCACAGCTGAGATATAACCTGTACCATGAAAAGTGGAATAATAATAATAATAAATAATAATAATAATAATAAATAATAATAATAATAATAATAGAAAGCAGAAGGAAAACAATAAGGTCTTCCGAAGGAAGTCGGAAGACCTTAATAATAAAAGTGAAAAAGAAACCTAAGAATAACAAGAAAGTCTTTCGCTGAAGACGGAAGACCTTAATAATAATAGGAAACATAAGAAAAAACAGTAAGATCTTCCAAAGGAAGTCGGAAAACCTTAATAAGTCGGTCAAGAAGATATTATTCGGTTAGAAAATTTGTTTTTTAAATTTTCATTAGTCAAGTATATAACAATTAAAATATACAAGTACGTAAATTGAAAAGCAATTTTCTTAAAGTAAGAGAACAAGAAATCTCTGCATAAACTATGATATTTTAGTGTTTAACTTATTTAAGCTGATTTGTTGTATTTGGAATTATCACTGGTCTGCATGTACGTTTGTAAAGTGTTTAAATTACTATTTAAACACCGTATCGCGGTTACCTCGACTATGCTGTAATATTATTTTGATTGTTTGTTTGTATTTGTGTAACGTCTCTCACTACGAGGGCTGTTCAATAAATAATGTCCTGAACTGTATGACATACAATATAGATATCATATGAAAATAAAATTGGCTTTCTCTCATGATTTAATCTTTACTGAATTTATAACAGTTCATGTGACCACTTTTCATCACATAGTTTCCTTGTGAGAAGCTGGGAAACAAGGGCTTTTCGAGACACTGCATTATAAATGAATGGTAAAAAATCGGTAAACTAGAGTGAAAATAAAAGCGTAAACTTAGCTGCTGTAAAACTTGTTAAAAATCCTAAAGAAATATTCACTGAATTACGTGACATTTACAGCAACCAATACCTGTTTTATAGACAAATGAGCAGGTTGATTTCAATGATAAAAAATTATATAATGGGCATCAAAAATGGGTACCGTCCTTGCCAACAAAACATTATAACACTTATGTACTAGTTTGCCAAATTTCAACAAAAATACTTGATGATGTATGATTGACTTTAAGACAAATATCAAATTTGATAGACATCACATCGGGGGTAGTTTACACTGTTTTCAAGAAAAGTTCGACGGTAAAAAAGCTTAGTACTCAAAGGTCACCCTATATTTTGAAAATTGAGTGAAAACGACAGCGTGTATGAATGTCTTAAGAATTATTTTAAAATATCAGTAATTGGAGTTATCCACGTTTTTTTGATATTCAAACAGATAACGGAACTTGAATCTATTGCTTAAAATCCTCAAAACAAAATCTACCATAAGATGTGCTTGACAAAAACAGGGAAGGTCTGGCGAGAGCAAAGAATTGCACGAGCACAAAGACAGATTTATATGCAATGTTCTTAAGTATTAGTGGTATTGTTGTTTAAAGTCTTATTCGGGGAGACAGTTTAATTTCTGGATGATTCTAGAAAACAATTTTTTTGCAAAAAAATCAAAAGGTTTATTAGAGGAAGGACCCAGAATCAGGAATCCACTGCATTAAATTTCTTCATGACAGCGTCCAAACCCGCACGCCCTGAAGAGTCAAGGGGTTTTCAGGATACACAGGTAGTTATTATTTTTTCACATTAACAATATTCACCAGATCTTTGACCTTTTGACTTATTTCTATTTCTAAATAAAACACCTTTGATTATGTTGAAACAAGTCCAGGAAATCATTGGATCTGCCATTTTCCAGTATACCAAGGGTCATACCCAAAAATGAGTTCTAAAATCAATCAGAAATTTGATAAAAAAGGTTACAGACATGTGTTGTAATTAAAAGAGATTAATAAGTAAAATAATGAAGACAAAATCATTGAAAAGCGTCTTTTGCTTCTTTCCGAGCACCGAGGACATTATTTATTGAACAGCCCTCGTATTATTAAGACGACGCCACTCGCTGGTGGAAGTCCACAAATTTAGTTCCATAATCGCCATCAGAGCCATTATGCAGTGAAGTAAACTATTTAAAACAGAAAAAAAATATTTTATTACATTAACTTCCAACGTTATTAGAATTCTTCTTGTGTTTATAAATACAGGTAAAATGTATTAAAAAAGCAATATTTAATGTGCTTTTTGCGATACGATTAGCCGGTTAATCAATCAGGAATGTTCTGCCGTTAACCAGCTGGCAAATCTTGATCCAATTGCTATCTTTTAGGAAAAAAAGCCAAAAAAACCCCATTAAACTTGAAACATTTACAAACAAATTATTTGATTTTCTAGGATATATCGATCAATCACTTCTATTTTCAGACATATTTTAAGAAAAATAAATATTTTAGAATCCACACTTCTTCCAGCAACTATGAGACAGACACATCGGAAAATATTCAAAGGAATGACCAAACAGAAAAGAAAACACGACGTAATGACGATAAGCCTCAAAGAATCAGGTTCTGGTACAGATATTTTATCATTCAGATAATTTTCTATTAATTTTTAATTTTACTTTACTCTTATATTTGTATGTTAACCTATTAAATATTCATTTAAGTAGTCTAGATAAGATTCTCTTTGCCGTTTTTTTTAACATGCATTTACGGGCATATTGAGCTGATGCTGTGCAAAATTTTGGTAAAGTTACATGTTTTCCACGTCAAAACGTGACAATGGCAAACTTTTTATAGAATTATCAGAGGGCATTGATTATTGAAAGGAATCATCTCACGTACATGTATCCTCGATGATTCATTCTTTAAATTGACTTTTGAACAGGTTACTTTTTCATGCAAAATATCTTTTTGATTGAGGCTTAAAATAATCATTGAATACAAATCATGTTCAATGGCACACAATCATTTACGCCCGAAGCATAAGTATTAAAGTTGGATTTTGCTTAAGCGGAAAGTCATAGACCAATGTGAACTGTATTTTGAGGATTTTACTTTGTTGTGAAAATAAATTATTTCGATGATTCAAATAGAATGATACTAAGCATTTTAAAGTGAAGTGTATGATTTTTATTGTATGATAGAATGTAAAGTATTGTGGGGAAAAAAATGAAAATTTGCACAGGGCCATTGAAATGTAATGTGTTTTAAAAGAGTTTCTGATTATTATTAAGGTAAATACTCTTCAATATTGAAGCAACTTTTTTTTATTTTTAACCTTAAATTTTTATAAAACCTTTTCCTATTATATAATTAGTATTCTACTTCCTAGTTTTGATCTAATAACCCTATTTATTGATTCATTAACATGTCAAGTTCATCCTTCTACAACTAATAAAACTGTATAATGCAGACGGATGCAACGCTTATAATCTTATTTCTGTACAGAGTCCAAGGAAATGAACCTGGAAAAACAATTGAACAAAGGTATGTAAAACCGATATCAATTTCATATTCTTGTGTAAGAATCTTAAAAAAATATGTGAGTGACTTTATTTGTGTGTTTAAGCAACAGTGTAAACGTGACCTGTGGGGATGACAGTGTTTGGAATACAACTCTTAGAAAATGTACCGGTAAGAATCAAACACATGAGAGCTTTTGTTTCAACAGTTCAGTTTCAAGTGATTCCGCTTTTAAAACATATGAACTGGTCAAAGTTTACTAAATAAAGGCTTTTCATACTATTATACTAGAAAGTGCTTACTTCCCTGTTTTAGTTTCACGATCATATTTCAGTTGAAAGTGCTTTTCATTACTAATTCATCTTTTTCAATCAAATTATATAGTGTTGCATTTGCTTATCTAAAACAGATATTATATCAAAATTATGACTGTAACATACTGTGTGACATTTAATCTCCAGAATGTAACCCTGGCTTTGTTGGACGGAATTGTTCCCTTATGTGTCAGTATCCCCAGTACGGCTACGTATGCAGCAAGCGGTGTGAGAATTGTAGTATTGAATCATGTGACCACAGAACAGGCTGTCCAGAATCAGGTAAAGAAAAACGAAGTAAGAAAACTCACTATAACACACTTGAAAATATGTCTGTAAAATATATAAATCATACATTTTGGTGGTATAATTGACTTTTACTGACAAGTATTAAGTATTACTTTTAAATGATTATTTTTTATCTTCAAGATAAAACATCTCTTCTTTCTACTGTAAGTCAGTCACAGTTAGAAATGACTACATTGAATACACAGAGTACAGACAAGGATTCTATAATATCGAACGTTACAGAATCATACCAGACAAGGAAACAAAGCAGTAATGAATTAAACAGGAAACTTAGAATTTCAGTTACATCGATCGGTATGACAATGACAATTTTTTTTATAGAATTATCAGAGGGCATTGATTATTGAAAGGAATCATCTCACGTACATGTATCCTCGATGGTTCATTTTTTAAATTGACTTTTGAACAGGTTACTTTTTCATGCAAAATATCTTTTTAATTGAGACTTAAAATAATCATTGAATACAAATCATGTTCAATGGCTCCCAATTATTAACGCACGAAGCATAAGTATTCAAGTTTAACTTTGCTTAAGCGGAAAGTTCTAGAGCAATGTGAACTGTATTTTGAGGATTTTACTTTGTTTTGAAAATAAATTATTTCGATGATTCAAATAGAATGATACTAAGCATTTTAAAGTGAAATATATGATTTTTATTGTATGATAGAATGTAAAGTATTGTGGGGAAAAAATGAAAATTTGCACAGGGCAATTGAAATGTAATGTGTTTTAAAAGAGTTTCTGATTATATTATCGCAACAAAGTGCAAATTTATAAACAGTCGCTTATTTCTATGGTTAAAATATCTGGTCTCAGGATCATGTAGCAGACTTAGACTTTTTTTTTCAAATATTTAATCGTCTGTAAACTGTCTGTTAATTATTTAACGCATCTCTTATTTTGCAGATTACAAAAATTTTTGTAAAGCAATATTATACATTTATTGACTGAGTTCGATGGCAATATGCGTTTTGTCGAGGGTTGACAAAACGCATTTTGCCCTCGAACTCAGTCAATAAATAATTTGTTATACCTTTCATTTTACTATTTTTTTTTTACCAACATGTATGTTTTACTGTCTTCCGTGAAGTGACCTCAGGACAGTCATTTTTGAACACTAACGAATGCAAATGAGATTAAGCTCCACCCATTCTGTGAGGTAAGTGGTCCAACATCCATCGACCGGTCCAACATCTCACTTAGCGGACAAACATCGATTTTTTATGCCCGCTCAGCAAAACATTAGAAATTTTACACTTTTTTCGTATAGATTTGAATAGAAATAAATTTGTAAATTAAGGTATGACAATAAAAAATATTTTAATTTTTGTCTATTTGACTTAATCAAACTTCTAGTACAACATGAATATATTAAATTAAGGTACTTCATGATCCAGGGCCCTTATCCTAAAATACGAACATAGACGACCAAAGTACCTATCATGCTACATCGTAACGGTAATTTGCAAGCTCTGTTTTCCCGCTGAGTTTTTCTAAAGATTTTGGATACATTGAGAAAAAGCTGTTGTTACAGTTCGCAAATTATAAATAAATATTCAAATATACACATTAAAACAATTTTTGGTTTGAATGGGAAATCAGCCGTGCTTTATAGCTTTCTTGTTTCAAATAAAAGAGACAATGGTGGAGAAAAAAAGCACATTCCTATTAAGGTAACTAATCTTAAATATCGAAGAAACTTTTTAAAATTTTTTTTTAACCTTGTATTTTTAAAATATCTTTTCCTATTTTGAATTAGCATTCTACATGTACTTTCTAGTTTTAATCTAATAACACTATTAACTGATTCGTTAGCATGTCAAGTTCATCCTTCTACAACTCATATAATGCAGTTGGGTGCAACGCATATAATCGTATTTCTGTACAGAGTCCAAGGAAATGAACCTGGAAAAACAATTGAACAAAGGTATGTAAAACCGATATCAATTTCATATTCTTTTGTAAGAATCTTAAAAAGATATGCGAGTGACTTTATTTGTGTGTTTAAGCAACAGTGTAAACATGACCTGTGGGGATGACAGTGTTTGGAATACAACTCTTAGAAAATGTACCGGTAAGATTTGTTTTCACAGTTCAGTTTCAAGTGATTCCGCTTTTAAAACATATGAACTGCTCAAAGCTTACTTAATAAAGGATTTTCATACTAAATATGCTAGAAAGTGCATAATTCCATGTATTAGTTTCACGATCATGTTTCATTTGAAAGTGCTTTTCAGTACTAATCCATATTTTTCAAGCATATTATGGATTTGTGCTGCATTTTCTGATCTAAAACAGATATTATATCAATACATTATGACCGTACCATACTATGTGACATTTAATCTCCAGAATGTAACCCTGGCTTTGTTGGACGGAATTGTTCCACATTGTGTCATTATCCTCAGTAGGGCTACTTATGCAGCAAGCGGTGTGAGAATTGTGGTATTGAATCATGTGACCACAGAACAGGCTGTCCAGAATCAGCTAAAAAATGTAAAAGTTAAACTCACTAAAACAGACTTAATTAAGCTTAATTGAAACATGTATATCAAATAAATCAATCATTTTTATGGTATATTGTTACTTATTACCTTTTTATGGTAATTATTTTTTATCTTCAAGAAAAAACATCATTTCTTTTTACTGTGAGTCAGTCACAGTGGGAAATGACTACAGTGACTACACAGAGTACAGACAAGAATTCTATAACGCCAAACGTTACAGAATCATACCAGACAAGGAAACAAAGCAGTAATGAATTGAACAGGAAACTTAGAATTTCAGTTACAACGCTTGGTACGACTTGTGCAGTACTTTATATGGTGTATTTTGGTTGGATTCTACGTGATAAATTTAACACCAGGAACAATTTAATAACGACCAACGATTTATCTGATGTTGCAGATGCTTATCAAAACATGTTAGGTTCAGACATAGTAACAATAACATTCGAATGAAAATCAAAACAGATAAATTCAGACGCTACTAAACTTACTAGGATATGCTGTATACATTCCTTATTTTACGCTTGTAATTAATATCTTTGAGACATACATACATGTAACATCAAATCGTGGGAGATTATTCTTTGTGAGTGGACGGTTGATCTAAATATGTTGAATGGATATCAGACCATAAAATGGGAGTTTTTATTTAGTTTTATTTTATGAGTTGAAGAATAATACAAAGACATATGGTATATATGTTGAGTACACGGCTAGACTTTTACCGACGATGCTAGACTCCTTGATAATAATTTTTATGCGGATGTGTCTTTGTGAATCAGTAGAGGTTCTTTTATTATGATAGATAATCGCTCAACTGAAAAAAAAAGTCATATTGAATTGAATTTTTTACAGCCCAAGTAGTAGGCTGTCGTTTACCGGTAGTCTTACCTGGGATTATGTAATTAATTTTATTTTTAATTTTTAGTAAATATAACACCTTGAAAAACGCCAGTTTCTTTGTGGAATATGACGGGTCAGATATGATAGTACCAACACCGCACGTAACGTCTAGGGACTCTGGTGTGGATGGGAACCAGTCTAATATTATAACAGCATAAAGACTCCATGTACTTTATACATATATTTCATACTTTACCTAAACTTCCATCTTTCCTTTGCTCCAAAACCTAATATTTTTCAATTTATGATAATGGCAATATAAATACTGTGAAATCACTACGTTTCGTGGGGTCTGATTTTCGTTGTTTTATAGGCATGGAGAGACCCTCAAAATTATGACACACCACTAGATTAAAATTTCATGTACATTACAACAAAACATTTTCCTAACCAAAATTTGACGAAAATATACTATTTTACAGTAATAAGCCAATAGACATCGCTCAAATTTTTAAAAACAATTTTGAAATAACAAATGGAAGATCAATTGTTTTTTTTTTGTTTTATTGGAGTTCTGTACATGATAAATCAAACTGTAGTAAAAACCCCGTTCAATCATTATAAGAGGTCCGCCAACATTTGCACTTAGATTTTTGAAAAGGATTTAAAATTTAGATATATTTACTTTGTTGCACTGAGGGATCTATTTCTTGCTAGCACCTACAGCGCTGTAGAATTCGAACCCGTGACATAAGAATAACCACATAAAGTACATTTGAACTAGAGTACATCAAATCTATTACCAAAGGTCATTGTGATCACAATCAGAATAAATCAAATCAAAGTTTACAAATTGTCACTATAGTGTAATACTGATCAATTCAGTCAATCAATTTTTACAATGCATTCAGTATAATCGAATAGAGTTTTTTTCCTATCGAGTTATCTTAATAGTTTACAAAATTTTATTACATACATGTAAGGTATTGTTTTGGAAGAGCGCTTGCTCAGCAGTGGACAGATACATGTAGATAGGATTAGATTGAAGCTCGGATCGTGACAAACATGTGTCAATTAAAATACATGTACACAGTAATTGTTCTTCTTCACTCACATGTAACGCTCAACACTTTTACGTGAAAAGTAAATGTCTTTTGGAATTGAACTGAAAAACTTATGTTCTATATAAATGTATAAATACATCTTAAGGCATTCAAATTGTCTTTAAAATTTCGGAGTAATGAAGTCAATAAGGACCTTATTATTTTCAAGATAGTTTTTTTATCAGCACAATAATGCTTCTCTCAAATAAGTTTTTTTGTTTTCATTTCTTCCAATTGCAAGTGAGGAATCATTGGCTTTTAACGCTTCTTGTTCATGGATGTTCCTCGGTGAACCTAAAATTATTCAATTTTTTTTTCCAATTTATAGTTAAAACAAACAGTAAAAAAAATTTGAATTATGATTCAATCATTTTCTGACCTTCACGTCTTCTCTTTATAAGGCATTTAATCACAATAATAAGAATGATGCCTACTTCTGCTACACACATACAGGGTATTATAATTATAACATAAACTGGAAATGGAAGGTTCGATCTGGAAATGCAAAAAAAGATTTAAACCACTGAATGTGCTTGTAAAACGATGATGCCTTCTATCACAGGTCATTACTAGCTAAGGTTAAAATTCCCTGTCCCAATGAATATACCAGTGATATATGAAAGCCCTGCATTAATTTTTACTACATTATCAACGGTATTATTAAGGTAAGTAAAATTTTTAATATAAAGGTCATGAGGTCGGAAATGTTGGTAAACGAGAAAAGTTCTTGTCACAAGCTATACATATGCATGTGAAATACAAAATCCTTATCACAAACAGTTGCAAGGTTATGACGAAGATAAATGTTTTTCAAAGCTAAGTTAAATTTCAAAGTCAAACTTCACAGGTCACAAATGCGGTACGCCAAGAAAAGCTTTGCCTCAATTGTTAATTCTGGCCAATATTTTTTAAAAGTAGGCCATTCTCCATGACCATTTGTTAATAAATTTTGGTCTCCAAGGGTATTAGGTCATGTCAGAAAAATAAACAAATGAAATACAAGTACAAAAGCCCCACCACTAACCAACCTTTCAGCTTAATGACATAAAACTCACTCGTCATGTATTCCCTTTGTTGTCTTAGAAGTTTTGTCTCCTAGTATATTTATTGTGGTGATACCGTGTGAATCCAAACTGCTGAAAATAATCCAAATTAAAACAAATATATGAATTAGTTTTTACATATTTTTGGAATTGTAAGTTGTTCAAGTGTCACTCTTAACCTATAAGAATCAAGTAAGGAATTTCAGTAAGTTTTTTTTATAAATTAAAAAATGATCAGAAATATCATGATATTTGACAACAAGAATCCTATTATAGAAACATTTAGAAAAAAATCAATTCAGTTTCATAAAAGAAAGTACCTATAGGAAAGACAATTTTCTAGGAACCTGCATGTCAAAGCTCTTTTGATACAATAGTTTACAAGTTATCAAAGACCTATATATAATAAACAAATTCTAAGTATTTAAGTTTAATGTTTTATTCGAGTTGGCAGGTATTGTCCACAGTGGTCTACACAACAGTGGGGCAGCCGGCAAAATGGCATACCCCCAACATCAACATAAGTTGTGCCCTCCCTGACGGAAAAGTAGCACGCTGGGTTGACCTCAATCGTGCTACGGACACATTTCAACACAAATTGTCTTTTAATTATATTATTTTGCTTTAGATTTACATTATATAAGATATAATTTTCAAAGTCAACATCACATATATCAACATCAACCATCACATATATCAACATCAACCACAAAAAGTCAACAAAATCAACAGTTCAATGGTTAAATTGAAGGTGACGATTTCGCCAATACGACCACTGTGAAGTATAGTCTACTGTCTTTCCCCGAACTCCTTGAAATCATGGATAAATCGCCAAGTTGACACCTGTCACGCATGGTATTCGGTCAGAGATCATTCCAAAGGTCCTAGAATACGGAAATAGCGGGCAATTCTGATCAGCACCGTCAGTCTCCTTCAACGAAATCTCTAATACCTGAAAAGACAAAAACAAAACCCCACAGCAGAAAAAGATTCTCAATAACATTTCCATAACTTTAATAAATTGGCTATACCTAACCCATGTAAAACAATGTAAACGTAAATTAAACAAACAAAAGGAGAAAGAGTATATACTTAACACCTAGCTCAAGGGTTGAGGTGGGAGGGTATTTCATAATACAGAAAAATAAATCGGATACTTTCATCACCCACCTTTCACTTTCATTGATGCATAGAAAAGGGGAGATAACCCGTAAACCTTGTAACTACGTACTGACACTGCATGGATGGATAAATAAATTCCGGCTTATCTCATTTATTCAATTTTTCACAAAAAGGAGGTGAATGATGACATATAATTAAAGGATATAGAGCTTTGATAACGACGCATATTGTGAGATGAACTCAAATATGCGGTATTATCAAAGACCTATATATAATAAACAAATTCTAAGTATTTAAGTTTAATGTTTTATTCGAGTTGGCAGGTATTGTCCACAGTGGTCTACACAACAGTGGGGCAGCCGGCAAAATGGCATACCCCCAACATCAACATAAGTTGTGCCCTCCCTGACGGGAAAAGTAGCACGCTGGGTTGACCTCAATCGTGCTACGGACACATTTCAACACAAATTGTCTTTTAATTATATTATTTTGCTTTAGATTTACATTATATAAGATATAATTTTCAAAGTCAACATCACATATATCAACATCAACCATCACATATATCAACATCAACCACAAAAAGTCAACAAAATCAACAGTTCAATGGTTAAATTGAAGGTGACGATTTCGCCACATGGGCACCGTAGGTGCCCACCGCCACCTGGTGGGGGTAGGCAACTTCAATTTAACCACCCACCATGGACTCCTAGCCTACTCAAAACCCTCAGCAACCCATCCATCGTGAACATCACTCTCTCTCATTTCCAACCCACTGTAGATTTATGCTGCATTAAAATAAATCTGGTTACCCTTCAAATTAATCGTGCCTTACCCCCTCCCCCCTTTCCCTGATTTTATATCTTTCGAAGTTGTACTGCTTTGGGTCTCTATTTCTATTACTAATATCCAGCTATTTTACTCAGTCAGAAAGAAAGAACTAACTGGACTAATGTAAGAAAATAAAGTAGAAAATATGCCTTATCTAGATTTATCCCCCCTTTTTTTATTTATTGGTTTATTCATTTGAATTTTATTTCTTATTCATTTTTAGGTCATTTGAAAGAAAAATTTGTAATATACTTTCCTGCAAAGATTAAAAACAAGATGAATGAGATGAGCAGCTATACTCTCTACCCCCCCCCCCCCCCCCCCCCCTTCAGCATGATTATGTTGTTCCTGTATTGTAGACAATAATTTTAAGTGTTCACATTCCCACTCTGTCAAGTGCAGAACATGTTTTGTGATATTTTGTAATGTATCTTGCCAGTTCTGAAGAAATGAGCTTATCTAAGTACTACTTATTTTTTAAACCAAGCTCTTCCGAAGACCATGTAAAATTGATTAAATCTTGTATATACTATTTACCTTTGAAGCCAAGAAACACAGTAGGGTACTTTGTATTTACCCCTAAGCATTTGTTAATGTAGATGGACTGCACAAGACATGTAAGGCACATATGACTAAAACCTTTATTCTAAATCCCTTTCCAGCTAATACTCTATCAAATAGGCATGATTTAACTACACCTTAAGCTTCCTACTTTGGGAATTTTGGGGAGGGACCCGCCCCCCTTTCCTCCTGCAAAAATATGCTGTGGAATGGGTTATTAAAAATATAGACTTCAAAATTCTTTTTAAGGCTGTAAAAAATAGCTTTATGATAGAGAGCA